AAGCCTTTAATATGTCTTCAAATATAAATAAACATCTCGTTGATATTTTCAGTAGTAAATGGTACCAATAACAGCACATTTGAGCAATGCAATTGTACTGGATAAAATGGTCAATTTTTCCGTGCAGTACTGTACGGATTATACGCTCCTCACCGGTTAAGAGTTTGGCCGAGAGTTGTCTCCTTCCTTTTCTGGCCTAGTGCTGTTCTTTTCTACTTTGCGCCGGTCAAACTGAAGGTCGCATCGCTACAGAAACTAAACAAAGTATACCTGTTCAACCTATTCTATAAGACGTTCGTTTACAAACCGGGAAAATTTACACAAAAATTGACCAACACATTTTCAATGCTAATATGCAACCATCAGACATCATATCAAAATTTGAAAACAATGACCCTCCTTTAGTCCAGTAATTCACTAGATACTGACCTAGACGAAATGTATGTACTTCTTTCCATCTACCAGCATTTAACGTTTAGTTGATACATATACTTAAATGATTTTAATTACTAGAATTTACTAATGACTTCACCTTCTTGAACTCACCAAACCAAAGTTTATGTTCCTTAGTGTAATTGATCTTATTTTGCCTCTGCGTCATTTTAAGATTAAGTATTTATATTTTTATAATTGCATACACTGTTGAAATAGCCGAAAACGTTCCAAAAATGTTACTCTTGATCTTTTAGCTTTTGAGATTCAAATACCTGCAAACTTAAGCCATTTCCTTTTATCATTTCAGACTTCACGAGCGTGAACAGTTTTCCGGAGGAAATCAAGTTCACATCGCCTTCGTTTTATAATCTAACTTTACCGCGACCCCCCACCTCTCGAGCGCCAGCCTACGACGTTCAGAATTTTCCAATACCGACCAAAACTTCGAACGGAAGCATACCCTCCGCAGTTGCTGAGAATTTTTATGCAGCAACAGACATTATACAGGTAAGAAAGCTATTTTATTATGTAGACATGTAGAAAATACTATTAGACGCTACTATTCTAACCTTCTTTTGATTCATTGAAAGTAAAGCATAAGCATGCAACGGAAACTGCGCGCGCACCGCACAGTTTAAAGTTAGTGAACAGGTGGCTGTATGTATATTTCGAGCGCAGAACTGTAGCCACTGCTAATTGAAAAATAAAATTTATTATCCTTTTGTCACAAAAGCTCTGAAACTTCTTCTTGGTTTTCTTTTCACGTACATATGTTTATGACTTACAGTTTGAGAATAGGTACGTTTGTATTTTTCTCGCATTTTGTCTCGGGATGTGATATTAGCGAAAATAAAAATCATTTTATGTGTACAAGCGTGTGTTACCTGTATAAAAAAACCGGTGGTCGTTATTATAAATACGAGCAGGGCGAATCTGCAAATTAAACTAATCAGTCTGGTAAATGCGAGAGTGAAATATATGCCCATATATCGCACTTAAANTTAGCGAAAATAAAAATCATTTTATGTGTACAAGCGTGTGTTACCTGTATAAAAAAACCGGTGGTCGTTATTATAAATACGAGCAGGGCGAATCTGCAAATTAAACTAATCAGTCTGGTAAATGCGAGAGTGAAATATATGCCCATATATCGCACTTAAATTGATTAAATTTGTTCCGCTTTTTATGAAAATGCGATGCCGATGAATTGTATTTTGTTTTTATTGAAATTAAATTATATAACAGAATTGGAAAAATCCATCTTGCGTATTGTTAAATTGATATTAGAGATGGGAGTCGAATGATTAGAAGAAGTGGCTGATTTTAGGTATCTAGGAAGTCAGATAAGGCAGGACGGAAGGAGCAGTAGGGATTTAAAGCAGAGGATAGCGCAGGGTCGAGTCGCCTTTAAAAAAAATAAGTCACTTCTTTGCTCGCGAACGGTTAGTTAAGGAATTCGAAAAAGATTGTTAAAGGTGTATGTTTAGAGCGCGGCGCTGTATGGGTGCGAAACATGGACGGTGGGCGCGGTGGAAATGGAAAGGTTAGAAGTGTTCGAAATGTGGTGTTACCGGCAAATGATGAGGATACTGTGGATAGAGAAGGTTAGAAATGAAGAGATAGAAAGAATAGAACAGACGACACCTTCTCAGACATGAAGGTCTAGTCAGAGATATATAGGCAGAAACAGGAGTTAAGAGGAGTAGAGGAAGCCCTAAATTAGATTACTGTTCGCAAATAGTTAAGGATGTGGGTTGTTTTAGTTTTAGGGAAATGTGAAGATTAGGTCAGGATAGAAAAGAGTCGTGGTGCGTGTCCAACTAGTCTTAGGATTGACGACTTTATGATGATGATGATTAGAGATAGGCTAAGTGCCTAGTTTGGATCTAATATCTAGCGGATCCGGAACTCTTTTTTGTTGTCATCTTCATTCTCTTTATTCCATCTGACTACGTTTTCAATCTTTCTGAACTAAGTGAGTTGTTCAATTGCGGTGTGTCCTCTGGCACAGCTGTTATGTTTTCAATCGGCTGCGTATCCTAGTGGTGGAAGTGGCGAAGGTGGAGGACAGGGAGGTAGTGAAGACAGAGAGACTTGAAACGACGGGCGTCGACCACGTCTCGACGCGTCCAATAAAGAAAAAGATAGACGAGGTAGCAGGTGGCGGCGCGGCGCCTATTGCTTACCGCATCGCGATGTCACCGTCATGTGCTCACTAGACTGACTTTCTCAACGAAATGAACATTTTACATATTTTGGCGCTCGAGAAAAATGGAATTTCATGTTACGTTCTCTTTTAATGTGGCTACAGATTTATTTTTTCTTAGTCTTTCTCAAAGTGCTTTTCTACGTAACTCAATATTTAAATGGGTACATATTGGAGTATAAATTACAAAAGAATCGTGATAGTGAACCAAAAAGAACATTATTGAGTATTTGACACTAACGTGAAACGCTAATAATGACAAGCATAAAAGATGAAGGGATAATTTTGCCCCAAAAATTGTACAAATCAAATTCCAAGGAGTAGCTTGTCCTGGCTCGTTGACTCATGATCGTATTTCCAAAACTATTGAGTCAATTTGAATCCAGTGCACCCCCGTCAACTCCCGTCAAAATCAGGTAATCCGTTGATGACTTCCGTCCATATTTTCTTACCTGCTAATAACGAATTTGAAAATGTAAAAATTTATGCCTTTTTATCAATATCCAAGGCAGTTTTTACTTATTATAAACATTACAATACTTACTTGATTGATGTTTTCAGAAATAAATTTGAACTTTTTTGACGTGACAACATCTTATAATTCGATGGAGCCGGCTGCACGCACGAAAAAACATGACTCATGCGGCGTTACCTCGCTCTGAGGCGTTCCACCATTTAAGGCTTGAAGTGCAAGCGAGAGCGCGGAACGAGCGACAAAGAGGCACAATCGGCCTCCGCGTTCGGCAGCGTTCGACATCTGTCTCTCTCCTACTTTNTTCTCGTTTAAAGTCTTTTCAAACTGCACTTTGCAATCACTCATCGCTTCATTACGTCTCACTATATTAAACCTGAAGAACAGCAACATAGGCTCGCCGGATACTCTCGTCGAATACTTTATCTGCCAGTCTTCAACATAAACATCGGAATTTATACACTTATTTTGTTTTATTTTAGTCTCTAGTATTACGACCCAATTTAGCGTGTCTTATCTGGTTAATGTTGTTGCACAACGCAGATGACCACTATTAACCACAAGAAAATTATTGGTAAACAATATCAATGTTTGTTCCGTTACGTGCGATAGTACATGGAAGTTTACTGGAAACATACAAAAGAAACAACAATTTGTTTAAGTAATTATTTGTTATTTTGTTAAAATTAGTCTATTTATAATGACAATGAAGGAGTTTGTTTTGGTAATCATGCAGCAATGTAGTTCGCTACAGGGTGATTAAAAATAGCAAAAAAAAGTTACGATATTACATTACAGTAGTCATTTGGTAGTTTTGCCTGGAAAGTTTTCCGGGAGTTTTGAAAATTGGTAATTTTATAGATTTTGAGGTGCTCATTCCGAATTTCGACTTTGCCACCTCGTATATTTGCCGCTCGCACCGCCATATTGGAAAAATGGCGCCTAAATGCAGTTTTTTGGCAATATCTCCTTTCCGATTCATTTTACGATAAAAACAGACATATAGAAAATGAAACTAGAGACAATTGCCTACAATTTTGGTATCTACCTTTTTTCCATAAAGTCAATAGTTTTAGCGTACGAGCGCCGCAAAGTGTACTCCAACACGTGTTTTGGTATAGCTCAATAGAAATATTTAGTCTGAGTCATCAGTATACGTCTATCGTTTCACAGTGCCGTTTACATTTATACAGCCATGGCTTCTAATGCAGTAAACCGTTTTATTTGTGCAAATACATTGGAAGAAAGCGAAGTGATTGAAGTAAAGAAAAAAGGATTCGAGACTTTTCGTAAAAGAATGGACAATAAGGATAAACTTTTGGTGGGACTGAGTTCGAAAGTGGTTCACATTGCATGTCGGAAAATACCGGCCTGTGACGTTTCGATTGGTACTGCAGACGATGAATTTGCAACACCTGGTCCATCAAGAACAACAAAGCGAAGGAGAATACGCTAAATTTCAGGATATTAAATTGCATGTGGATTAGGCCTATTGCGAATACCACGTTAAAAAAAAACGCGCCGCTTACTCTATCTCAAGGTTGTGTGGAAATGAGTTATTTTGGCAAAAATGCATGTTGGAGTACACTTTGCGGCGCTGGTACGCCTAAACTATTAACTTTATTAAAAGAAGGTACATACATAGATTGTAGGTAATTGTCTCTAGTTTCATTTTGTATATAACTGTTTTTATCGTTAAATGAGTCGGAAAGGAGATATTGTCAAAAAACTGCTTTTTGGCGCCATTTTTCCAATATGGCGGCGCGAGCGGCATAAATACGAGGTGGCAAAGTCGAAATTAGGAGAGAGCACATCAAAATCTATAAAATTACCAATTTTCAAAACTCCCGGAAAACTTTCCAGGTAACCACTATTTTTCGAACCAAATCACTGTACTATTAGGGGCGCCCAAGAACGGAAAGGGTTGAAGTTAGTTAAGGGAAATTTTCAGGGAAGCAGGGGATATATTCAAATAGATATTCCGTATGTTCACCAACTTTTCACTTGAAATTCCGACAAAGAAACGTGTGTTCGACGAATCTCTTACCTGTATATTGAAAATCTTAGTGGTTATTATTAAATATTAATTTGAAAATTAATTCTCAATTTTTTCCACTATAAGTTACCTCGCCGGGAATCGAACCCGGTACCTGTAGCTTTACGCATCGATGCTCTGAACACTAAGCTACGAGAGCAGCCACAATTTTTTTTTTTCATTAATTTGAGGTAACTTCTAGTGAAAAAAAAATTGAAAATTAATTTTCAAATTAATACTTACGTGTATGTACTGGCGCCCTTTGGTTGTTTTAAGGAATTTGTTCTTTTAATTCATTTTTATCACGATCAACACAAGCTGGAAAGCCACTATGTGTTGACGTTTTTGCAAACGCGACCTACTGTATAGCGGCGCCTTTTCAAAAGCTTTACGCATTAATCACATTTTTTAAACTCCTTTTTATTACAACTTCAATAACCGAGATGGCTTTGTGGGGTATTCAAAACAAAAACAACAATTTTTTATCCGTTGCGAAAACTCACCGTTCCGGGTTGACAGCCTTTCTGTTTTTTTTTTGTATATATACATACGTATAACTTAAAAGGAACCGTGAATTAGTAGCCTGAATAATTCTAAACACGCCAGATGGATTATACTGGGAAAGTGGTTTTCGGGACGAAATTATAATCCTTTTTAGAAAAGTGGACTATAGAATATTGCTTCAGATTGACCACATTTATAAACACTCAATTAAATAAGAAATTCTAAAACCGCTTGTTCTTAGTGAAAAACAGTAGCGTAACGGCTACACAGGGAAACTCATCAATAAACGA